GAAAGATTATTTATTCAGCTTTCAGATGATGCATAAATCTCAATTTAAAAAAATTTACACTTAAGACTGGTTTTGTGGTCCAGGGTCACAAATAGATAAAATAATTAAATAGACAAAAAAGATTCAAATATACACACATACACACATATATGTATATATTAGGGATGTGCGCGACGACTAATCTGACTGACGTTTAAACGTAAGTTTTGTATCCGATTAGCTGACTAGTCTAAAAGCAAGAAACCCCCAAAAGATGGTAAGAAAAAAAAAACTCTGTGCGTGCGTGTAGCATAGCCTATATTTGAAATACTTAATCTATGAATCACACTGTCAAATTCCTCAATGAATTCGCTTGCCGCACACTTGCCTCGCGTTATCATAATTTCATTTTAGGCAGTCGTTAAAAATAAAAAAAGAAGAGTATACACTAACGTCGGCCAAAGCATAGCTTATTTATTCAAATCAGCTGGGGAAATGCAGAACAATGGAAAATCAATCAATAGCCTGACAGAATTCTTAATCTTCATATAACGTTAGCCAACATATTAAAACACAAGTCGAAAACAATAGGAAGGTTTATCAAGAAATAGCATTAAAACGGCTTTTAAAAACATACTTCGTGTAGGCTATATTGTCTAAAAACAAAACAATCGTGTAATCGACTATTGTTTTCAGTGTCGACTAGTAGGAGCTGTACCGTTTAGTCGACTAGTCCCGCACATCCCTAGTATATATGTATATATATATATGTATATGTATACCGTATTGGCCCGAATATAAGATGACCCTGATTATAAGACGACCCCCTTTTTCCAGATGTACCTTTTGGAAAAAGGCTTTTTAAAAACCAAATCTTATTTTTTCTCAGTAAAAAACATTTTGTCTTCAATTAATTTCATATTGCATATTTTTCCTATTTTAATTTTTGTTTTGAAAGTATGGTAAAAACTGGTAAAATGTACTTACTGTAGTCTTCAAATCTGGGTACTGTCTTACGTTTTAAAATCACAAAGGGAGTTTGGTGCCATCAGGCTAACGTGACAGTCACGACTCATGCAGATGTAAGGTTTGTTTTTACTCGCGATCTTTACAACACGCATTACATTACGTATTTCATGGCACACTCGTTTCATGCGTATTTGGCGCCACCTATTGTTGTGGGTGTATTATTGACATGTCAAAGTCTAGACCCTGAATATAAGACGACCGCGTTTTTTCAGATGTATTTCCAAGAAAAAAACATTGTCTTATATTCGGGTCAATACGGTATATATATATATATATATATAGCTTGCTAGCAGGTGTACTTAAATTATAGGATGTGATATGAATTCAAATATGAATAAATAAAGAAATATTGATAGAGAGATCTATATATTAATGCGTTTTCTGAGAAAGAATCACACTATATATTTTATATATATGATTGTATTGGCACAGACTTAGTACACACACCAGTTTAGAAGTAATGTAACTTTGCTGAGAATTTATAGATACTGTGATCACAAACCTGGGAAATATTGCTGTGCCACACACACATATACACACAAACAAAATAATGTTTGATAGCAACAGTGGATGAGCGTATGCTGATACTCACAATTGTTCCATTGACAGCGTTTTTATTGTAGTACTTCTTCCTCTCGTACTTGTCCCTGATGAAGAACTCCACAGCTCTGAAACATTGCTCAGGAAAATTTAAATATTGATGGCTTACGACTAATACAAATAATATTAAACATCACAGCATTTAAACAAGCATGGCATGCATTCACTAATTAACCTGAGAGGTTGTAAGAGACATGGAGAAGCTTGATGCTGACTGCTAACTAGACTATACATTTTTAAAACCCATGAAATGGCTTGACTTTCTTGTGCTATTGCAACAAGTTTTGATAGCATATACCTCTCATTATGCCGCATATACATGACATCAAAGTAAGCGCACAGACTGAAAGCCACAAAACTTGTTTTTTTATAGGGGTCTTTAAATCTCAGTCTTATTGTTTTAATGTTGATCCAAGGCCCAGTTTGAAACATTGTTTTTGTTTTTTGTCAAATCTCATATTGGCTAGGAAGATTTAACTGGCATCTTGCTCAGCTACAATTAAAGAGGCCAGCCCTCTCAGCCTGGCTGTTTTCTCTCCTCACCATTAAAGACACTAGAGCACCAACACCCCACCTGGACCATGAACTGAATACAACTTAGCATTCTGCATCTTGAAAGAAAGAAAAGAAAAGAAAAAATCAGGATCACACAAAGATGGACCAAATCCTCCTAAGCCTGTTTTTTTTTTCGTTTCACAGCAAACACACATGCACAGAGTGGGGCCAAAGACAAATCAAAACACACTCTCTCTGAATCTCACTCCCTGTTAACAGAGCGAATTTATACAGCGACAGTAAAATGCTAAGAGGACGGGTTCACGCAGCTTTATTGGATTTACACTCATGAATCCCTGATCACAATACAATAATGCATCTGATGAAATATGGATCAGGGTGAAGATGGTTCACGCAGCTTTATTGGATTTACACTCTCATTAATCCCTGATCACAATACAATAATGCATCTGATGAAATATGGATCAGGGTGAAGAAGCAGCTGTCAGGAGGAGAAAGAATGCAAGAAAGAGAAAGAGAAAAGACAGGGGTGAGCGACAAAACCCCTGTAGCATCCTCAGTACAAAAGATCAGCGGTTCTCAAACTGGTGGTCTAGGAAGAATTTCAAGTGATCCATGGAGGACCAATTTTAAACAACACAACTAATTAAAATACACTACCTTTCAAAAGTTTGGGGTTGGTATAATTTTTTTATGTTTTTGAAAGAAGCATGGCACCAAAGCTGCATTTATTTGATAAAAACGGTAATACTGTAAAATATGATTTCAATTTAAAATAACTTTAAATTTAAAATAATAGATTTTAAAACGTCATTTATTCCTGTGATGGCAGCAAAGCTGAATTTTCCAGTCTTCAGCATCATTATGTTTACATGGACAACAATAATCCGATTTTAACACGATTAAGACAATACTCTGATTAAGAATCTACCATGTAAACAGAGATTTTTGATTACCTTAATCCGGCTAAAGTCATAGTCGTCTAAGTAAACAGAAATCGAATTAAGACATGTGGAGTAACTTATTCCTATTTTAGTCGCATTACTGAAGTGCAGTATAGACATGTAAACCCCTTAATCAAATTATTACCGTTGTGTAGGAATTTTCGCCGCATTTTGCGACAGGATACACACACAGCAGTGGTCAACCGTTTGATGGCAAATAAAAGAGCTTCCACACCACCATCGTCTGTATGCACGTACAAATAATTAACTGCACTTGAAGCTTTCATAAAATTAAAAATGAAACAACCAAAACTGTACATGGCATCATCACGAAGAAGAACTATGTTTATACGTGAAATTCCGGAGGGGACGTCGGATGGCGTCACGTGGGGACGTAATGACGTGTGCCATTAATCGAACTATGTACTGTAACATGTAAAACGGGAACATGAAAGGAATATTCTAAAAGCAACTCATGTAAACACCATAATCATAATATTGGCTTATTTAGAATAAGGTAAATAATTAGATTACTGATGTCCATGTAAACATAGTCACTGATCTTTTAGAAATCATTCTAATATGCTGATTTGCTGCTCAAGAAACATTTCTTACTATTAATGCTGAAAACAGTTTTTTTTTTTTTTTTAGGATTCTTTGATTAATATAAAGTTCAAAAAAACATTTATTTGGATTTTATGACGTTACAAAAGATTTGTCTTTACTGGTACTTCAGATCCATTTAATATATCCTTGCTGAATAAAAGTATTCATTTCTTAAAAAAAAAAAAACCTTACTGACTTCAAACTTTTAACAGTAGTGTAATTCTAATTATCAAAAGCACCAACACTGAATTAGCCATTTGATTAATAAACCCATATTTTTTGAGAGGAACAAATTATATTTTGCTGTTAGTGTCAACAATGCAAGAAAAAAACAACAACAACAAAACAAAAAGAAAGCATCTATCAAAATGCCTTAATGTCTAAACAGTATATATGTGTGTGTTTGTTTTAATATAATTTTAGCTGTGTTGCTTTAATGAGTATACTGTACAGACAGCTTGCTGGGCTTTAGATGCTAACCAGTTGTACCAAAAAACCCTCTTGGAAAAGTTCCAAGCATCTTTACATTCATACCCTTTAAAACACCTACTTTCCAAAATGTGTTGCGAGACACTTGAGAGTTTTCTGTTCTGCTGTGCTCAGTCTACTGTTTTTGAATGCAAAAACATATGTAAATCAGGCCAATCCTGTTCCTGGAGATATACCTTCTTGCAAAGTTCAGCTCAAACCCTAATCAAACACACCTGAACCAGCTAATTAAAAATCCTCAGGAACACTTAATTATGCAGGGCTTCTTTAAGACGATCAGTCGAGTAGGGCTTCAGGCACCTAGACAAGTCGATTTTGAAAATGTGGAGTTTTGCACATTCCTAAACTTAAAATGGTAAAGTTGCTTTGTTGCATCACGCCGAGTTAGGACGTGATGCAAAAGTTACAGAGAGGAGCCGGGAAGAAAGATCATGCATAAAAAAATAGCACTGGCATCAATAGGAGAAAGATAAATGAGTTACACATTAAAAAAACAGACTCAAAAATATGAGAAAACACAGAGAAAGAAACCAAAAGCACACCAAATGAAGGTACCTATGCCATTCACAATGAGCAACAGAAGAGAGAGAACTTCAAATTTCCTCTCTGCCGATTTGACGTTTATATTAACACTTTTCCATTAGAGAGATCACGAGAGGGAAGCAGTGATAAGTGGGAAGTGAGAGAGAGTGAAAGACCCCCACACTGGTGCACAAAAGATCCACATTTCCATCTGAAGAAACCACACCTGTGATAAAGCAAATTCCCTCAAAGCTGGTTTGTGGAGGAAGCTCACCTCTGCTGTCCAGATTAATCCATTTCGACGGTTAAGAATATTGTACCTCATCGGTCAGCATACAAATGAAGCCATTTCCATATCCACACCAAACGCAGGAGTGCTGATAACAGGCTGCGGATGCCAGGGAAATTCAATTAGGCTTTCTGAAGGCGCCAATGAGGAGAACATGGAATTATCCCGGCCGCCACACACACCCAATTAGACTGATGTGTGAAATGGGACGGAGGAGGATACCCGAGGCAAGAGGGATGAGGCGGAGGGTTGAAAGACATGAAGAGACTTCCTGTTAGGCCTCAGCGGTGACGGTGAGGTAGTTCCTGTTCAGCTCTGCTGTGTGTGAAGGTGCTTAAAACAGCAGCTGTTTTCTCTAAATCTCTGCAGCCAGAGGTGTGAAGTCACATAGGCTTCTGTCTGCCACATTCACCAACATTACACCAGGAATTCCCGACTGCATTTTTATTTTGTATATATAAAGCTCATGATGGAACTACAGGAACAACAGTTTGAGTTGTTGTGACAGAACTGACAAATGAAATGTATAAATCAAGATGTATCACTAATTTATTTTTATCTTCCTCAAAGTATTGTGCAATTTTTAAAAACACTACCAATCAAATATTTTTGGAAATAAGTTATTTATGCTATCCAAGGCTGCATTTATTTGATAAAAAATACAGTAAAAGCAGTAATACTGTGTAATATTATTACAATTTAAAATAACTGTTTTCTATTTTGATATATTTTAAAATGTTATTTATTCCTGCAGTGACAAAGAAGTCATTACTCCAGTCTTCAGTGTCACATGATACTTCAAATCATCCTAATATGCTGATTTGCTGCTCTAGAAACATTTCTTATTATCAATGCTGAAAACAGTTCAAGGCTGCTTAATTCATTCCTCAATGTATTGTGGAAATGACATGCCAGTGATACATTTTTTTCAGGATTCTTTGATGAATATAAAGGTCAAAAGAATAATTTATTTGAAATAGAAAACTTTTGTAACATTATAAATGTCTTTACTGTCGCTTTCAATTGCTGAATAAATCTGATAAAAAATCTTACTGACCCCAAACTTTTGAAAGGTAGCACATGTGCAAAAATCATGGTAATAAGCACAAACAATCAGTGGAGCTCAATGACGGCACTTTTTATAGCGTACTTACAATTTCATGCATGTCAAAAAGCATGTCATTTAGTAAAGTACAGCTCTCCTTTCCCTCATTTTTCAAGCCCTGAACAATATCATGACCCTGCACTGTAAAAGTTCATCACCTAGAACTAAATATCTCAAGGAACAAAAATGTACAGAATGTCTTTTTTATATATGGTTTTCTTCCATTTCTCTGAAAAATAAGAACTGCCTTCAAGCCATAGTTTTAGAAATATTAAAAAAATCACTGGTGTGCCCCTGCATTGTCATCCACTGCTCATAGAATTGGGTTAGACAAGAACGATTTATAGAATTATGGGAAATGGCACACATCCTTTGCAATCTCAATTGCAAACCTAAATATGTGTTCTACCAGCCACTACAAATTCAAATGCAAATTGACATCACTTTGATTGCAAGCTTAAGGACTGTGAGCAATATCTTGCCATATATATTTGTAGAAATACTCCATCAAAATAGTTATCTACAAATCTTGACGAAAAGTGCTGTGAATCCCTGTATTTGGCAACCAAATAATGAATATCTTCATTTATCCGCGTACAAGACAACCCAACATGTAGAACATGCAGATCTTTAAAGCGATAGACTGCACTGCTACATACATACTCTAAACCCTTTTCTGTTGCTTACAAGAGAGAAGTTGTGTTGGCTATGGAATCTTTGTTTGTGTGAATTTGGCAGCAACAAGAAAAGAGTAGGACGCAACAGCATAAACTCACAAATACCCAGTTCTTTCCATATTACAAATCCACAATTTGTCTTTTCTAGCGCCAAGAAAAGGATTTTTCACTTTAATCATGCCAATCCTCTGCAGACGACCAAGAATGAATCTGTACCACACACTAACCTCAGCCTCTGAGAAGAAAGTTGATGATGACTTCTCGAATAACTAGCAAAGGCCATCAAAGCATAATGTAATGACAATTACAAACGAAAACACAGGTAGACTCAAGGATACTGGTCAGTTTGCGGCCGTCTGAAGTTTTCTGGGAGATGAGCTTCATACAGCTGTCTTGCCTTGGTGTTGCCCATGCTCTGCACACTCTAAACAGAGAAAGACAGACAAAAAGAGAGAGAGAGATAACAGGTGAAAAAGAAGAACAACACAAACCATCCATTTATCCCAAAGTCCATCCAAAAGGAGAAAAAACAAGAACCTAAATAAGTAAATAAATACAATTATTTTAAAAATCTAACACACATCAGAGCTCAAGCACCCAATCACACATTTTATTTTAAGCCACATATTAAATGTTAGAAACAAATATTTTGATATATTTCCTATTATAAATGAAACGGTTTTCTTTTCAAAAAATATTGCAAATGTTTTATTTCAGCTGGAAACTGACAATTAATTCACACACTTTCACAGTTTTGTCAACTGATCCCAAACTCAACTAGTGTACTAGTCCATTATTAAAATTACAGAAATTCAAAACATACAGCACAAAATCTTTATACGATCTATAAACAAATTCATCAAGTTCAATTAATGTAGAAGCAGGTCATCTAAATAAGCATAAACTCTGAAACCGAGCATCTCTGTACAGTGTTTCCCTTCACATAATTTAAAATGCATAAATGATGACCTTAGGGAAAAATTTAATGTATATATTATGCTGCTACGTATTCATTATGGACCCCTAAAAAGAGTTATATTGATCTCTCTTTCTCTCTCAATGTCAAAGTACTGCAATGACCTCTGAATAAAGAGTGACCTCATTCATTCTTTAAGGTGGTGGAATTTGATTGGTTGCTGTGTGCACAATCACTGGGGCAACAGGAGTGATGGTGCAAAATATCTGTACCGTGATTCATGCCACACATCACAGTTCCTAACTTCCTAATAAAGCTAGTGGTAAAATGCATGAACTTTTAATCTGAAAAAGATTTTTTTTAAAATAATAATAAATAAAAAAAACGTTGGTTACAGGCTCAGTTGTCTGTGCTAGTTTATGGCCTTGATTCTTAATTAAATCTGTAATCGAGGCTATTTCGAACATATACAAATTACGCGCATTTGCATTATCAGTTCAATGTCACGTACATCAAAGTCTGTCAGAGACAAATTAATATGAGGATGGATCAGACTGAAGGAAGAGAAGATGCTGAAAAACAGACAAGTAATTACCTATCAAGAATTAATTATCCATTTCAGACGTCAATTAATATGGAAAGGGGAGATCCAAGACTCCCTTTTGGTTGCTTAAAAACTCATAAATCTTTCAAGCCACACTGCTCTTTACACCACAACACATAGAGACACACAAATACAGTTACACATGTATACCTGTAATATAAATGAAGGTTATCTGGACTACATGAAGCAGTGTGTTATGGAGCCATCACTCACACTACACTAGATAAACACGTGTCCTAATGACAAACATACTTTTCAAACTATTCTATCTGATACTTCAAGGGTTTGCAATTTGGATAAAAACTCACATGTTAGCCAACTAGATGACATTAATTTGGCAAAAACAGGCAAAGAGATATCAGCAATTTTATCTTTACTTTTTTATATTATGTTATTTGGAATGGAAATATTATATTTAAATAAAAGTAATAAAATAAAATAATATCATATCATATAATTTATAATATTATATATATTTAATAATCGCACTAAAATTTATAATGTTGTAATAAACTCACTTGTAAAATATTTATTTTAGTTTTAGCGTGTTTTAATTTCCTACTCGTATTATTGATTTATAATATCAGCCTTTCTGTAAAAGTAATTATTGGTCTCGACCAGAATTTCAGAAATATCAGAATTACATTTGAAAGACAAAAATAAATGTACACTACCATCCAAAAGTTTGGGGTCATTTTTTTTCTTCAAATAAATTCATTATTTTATTCAACAATGACACATTATATTAAGTTTAATTAATTGACAACAATTAAGTGTCAGAGTAAATTATTTATAATGTTACAAAAGATTTCTATTTCAAATGCATTTTGTATTATCCATCCCCAAAAAAATAACCCTGGTTTCTGCCTAAAAAAATTACAAATAACAAAATAAATAAATAAAAAGTTTTCAAAATTGATAATAATAAGAAATGTTTCCTGAGCAGCAAATCAGCATATTAGAATGATTTCTGAAGGGTCATGTGACACTGAAAACTGGAGTAATGGCTGCTAAAAATTCAGCTTTCATAAAAATAAATTACATTTTAAAATAGATTAAAATAGAAAACACTTATTTAAGATTGTAATAACAGTTTACAATATTACTGTTTTACTGTCTTTTTTTGTTCAAATAAAAGCAACTTTGGTAAGTTCTTTCAAAAACATTAAGACATTCTTACCAACTTTTTGAACAGTAGCGCATGTGATCAACAAATGTGAGACACTATGAAAGAGCAGTACTGCCTTAATCTGTTGAATGAGAGTTGGGACATCAGCAGACCCCAAACATCCTGTTGAGCCCCATAAGAAAGAAAAAGGCAACGAACATAGTGAAGTGTTAAACAAAAACACACATACTTGTATCTGCTCGGGGGTCCATTGGTCCAGGTTGACTGATTTGACGCGTGATATATGCACTCCCAGGTTCCGGTGTATTCCAGCACAGCGGATACAAATAAACACACCAAGATTCCAAGAGGCCCATCGAGGTCCTGCGGGGAAAGAGAGAGAAAAAAAGACAGATTTTAGACCTGCAGTAAAGCACTTCCCATTATCTGAAACAGATAACGCCATCATAACAGGCAGTGACGGAACCAATATCTAAGCCATGGAATTTTGCCATCGTGATAAAATTCGATCCAAGCGCCAGATGAATGCAGCAGGTAGCCCACCTGAATCAACAGTCAATAGCCGCAGGTACCTGAATAAAACAGTGAAACTACATTGTGAGACTCCTGATCTCATCAACCACAGAAAAAAAGGGAGAAGAAAAATGTGAATTGTGTTACAATACAGACTGCATGTGATTATCTTAAGCCCGGTGTGCAATATTCAGCTCTCAGAAGTGACTGTAATAGCACGGGGGCGGACGATAGTGCTCTGACTGTAGACGCTAACAAGGGCAAAGGTTGTGTATCTTTCAGTTCTGTTTGAGAAAATGAGTGTGAGAACTCGATAGCTTTCGGGTGAAAAGTTGTGCGTGGAAGCGGATGGACTGGGGGGTGTGGTGTGGGCGCACTGGAGCGGCCCTGACAGCTCTCGGCTGGTCGGTTGGCGTTGGTGAGAGCACTGCTCCTGACGGGCTATAAATCACAGGGTGTGCTGGGAAATGGATTTCTGTGGTTCACCCACCCTCTTTGGCTTTATCTACACCTGTCAGCCATCTTCGGACACGTCCAATTCGCTTCCTCCGTCTCACGCTCTCTCGCAACACGGAGCCGTATCCGTGGTTGCGGGAAAAAAATTAGAAAAATCGACGCACATACACTACAAGTACAGCCATTAGCATAACAAACAATACCGCACTGTTTCTTCAGTTTCTTCACTGTTCATAATTTATCCTGCATGATTGCTCAGGATATTAATGGCTATCTTGCTTCTGTTCTGTGCTCAGATGACAAAAGAGGACGGGCGACGCGTGAACAGGCTGATAAGATTCCCCAAACACGGAGGAAAAACTCTGGTGAAAACTGCAGTAATGAGAGAGAGCGGGTTTCCAGTCTCTTATCTCTCACCCTCCCCAAAGTACCATCCGGCTGGCTGCACAGGCTCCGTCTGCCACCCTCCCAGATTTATTAGCCCAATAAAAGGCTGCAAGATTGTGTCTCACACCGCTGCACCAGGAGCTGCATAACTCACCCACAATTAAAGAGGGTTAATTTGTCATTAAGTGGAGCCCGGTGCAGTGAAGGGTGCGGTGCCCCTGCGGAGGATTGGATTCTTACAAATACTTGAATAGAAAACGATGTGAAACACAAAGAACAGTTTGTGCTAAAGAATTAAGATTAACTAAAATTATATTGACTATAAAAATGTCCATGCCTTTTAAGATTTTATTCATTTCTATGAATTTCCCAGGCGCTGTGAAAGTTTCTTTTGGAGTTCCCTGATTCTCCAGGTGTTCCAGCACCGTGAAAACCCCAGTTTCAAAAGTTTCAAACAGTCCAAATCAAAACATTTGGAAGAGCAAATACACATGCAAAATAGAACATTTTCGATATGCCTGCAATGATACACTGGCGTAAAGTTGACGTTGACGACTTGAGATGTAGGAGTGGGCAGCGAAACCAACATATGATGATGCGTAATTTTATATCATAATATCAATATTTATATATATTTTATATATATTTTATTTTAGTTTACTCCCGCTGACGTTCCCACACAGTGTTGCCAATTTGGGGATTTTGTCGCCAAATTTAGCTACTTTCTCATTGTAGCTGCGACTTTTTTTTTTTTTTTTG